TTAGCCATTCTTTCATTCAGGGATTTTGCCTTTGGTGTCACATTTAAAAAGTCATCACCATACATACCCAAGATCTAGGTTTTCTCCTAAGTTATCTGCTAGGAATTTTAGTTTTGTGCTTTTACACTTAGTTCTAAAATCTATTTTGAGTTAATGTTTGTGAATGGCATAAAATTTGTCTGAATTCTTTTTTGTGAGGAGGGCATGTGAAGGTCTAGTTGTTGTAGCACCATTGTTGAAAAGGTTATCTTTGCTTGCCTCTGCTTTTCTGTCAAAGATCAGCTGACTATATATACAATATGGGTCTGTATCTGGGCTCTCTATTCTATTTGTCCACTCTTCTGCCAACACTACACTGTCATTGTTGTTGTTGATCAGTCACTAAATCATGTCCGACTCCTTGTGACTCCATGGACTGCAGCATGCCAGGCTTCCCTGTCCCTTACTAACTCCTGGAGTTTGCTCAAATTCATGTCCAATGAGTCAGTGATGCCATCCAACCATCCCATCCTTTGTCAGCCCCTTCTCCTCCTGCCCTCAATCTTTCCCTGTATTAGGGTCTTTTCCAACGAGCCAGCTCTTTGCATTAGGTGGCCAAAGTGTTGGAGCTTCAGTGTCAGTCCTTCCAATGAGTATTCAGGGTTGATTTCCTTTAGGATTGACTTGTTTGACCTCCTTGCTATCCAAGTGACTCTCAAAGAGTTTTCTCCAGCACCACAGTTTGAAAGCATCTATTCAGTGCTCAGCCTTCTTTATGGCCCAACTCTCATCTCCATACACTGCTACTGGAAAACCCATAGCTTTCACTATACAGATCTTTTCCAGCAAAGTGATGTCTCTGCTTTTAATATTTTGTCTAGATTTGTCATAACTTTTCTTCCAAGGAGTAAGCATCTTTTAATTTCATGGCTGCATTATCCATGTCTTTTTGTGTGTGAAATTCAAAGAAAATATGTACTTTCATTAATACTGTATCATGTTAATTTCCTGTTTTTTTTCTTTTTGCAACATATTATTTCTTTATATTCTCAGAATTGGATTAGAAGGGTCAAGCATCAAATTCTTTTTGAAAATCATTAATAAAATTTCTAGACTTTTAGCAGTAATACCAGATGCCAAAACACACACAAGTATATTAAAAGCTTTGAGTGAATATAAATTAGAAATCTAGCATTCTATTCATCCTAAGTCAAACAAGTGGAATCACAATGCCATAAATTTTTTACTTAGGCAAAAATTCTTTTCTAAAATATATATTACATTATCAGTTCAGTTCAGTTGTGTCTAGCTCCTTGTGATCCCATGGACTGCAGCATGCCAGGCTTCTCTGTCCATGACCAATTCCCACAGCTTGCTCAAACTCATGTCCATAGAGTCAGTGATGCCATCCAATCATCTCATCCACTGTCATCCTCTTCTCTTGCCTTCAATCTTTTCCAGCATCAGGGTCTTTTCCAATGAGTCAGCCCTTTGCATCAGGTGGTCAAAGTATTGGTGCTTCAGCATCAGTCCTTCCAATGAATATTCAGGGTTGATTTCCTTTAGGATTGACTGGCTTGATCTCCTTGCAGTCCAAGGGCTTCTCTGGAGTCTTCTCCAACACCATAGTTCAAAAGCACCAATTCTTTGGTGCTCAGCTTTCTTTATGGTCCAACAATCACATCCACACATGCCTACTGGAGAAACCATAGCTTTGACTATATGAACATTTGTTGGTAAAGTAATGTCTATTTTAATAAGCTGTCTAGGTTTGTCATGGGCTTCCTTCATGATTCACAAGCTTCCCTTGTGGCTCAGCTGGTAAAAAAATCTGCCTGCAATGCGAAGACCTGGGTTTGATCCCTGGGTTGGGAAGATTTTCCCGGAGAAGGGAAAGGATACCCACTCCAGTATTCTGGCCTGGAGAATTCCATGGACTGTATAGTCCATGCGGTCAGAGTCGGACATGACATAGTGACTTTCACTTTAGGTTTGTCATAGCTTTTCTTCTAAGAGCAAGTGTCTTTTAATTTCATGGCTGCAGTCACCATCAGCAGTGATTTTGGAGCCCAAGAATATAATGTCTGTCATTGTTTCCTCATGTATTTGCCCATATTACACTATACCTACTATTTATATATATGTGTATAGAAAAGCTCTTTTACTACATTTGATAAACGAGGTAAAAAAGGTGGAGAAATTGGAAAACATAAACTAAATGAAATGAGAACACTGAATATGAAATAGAAGTGAAACTAGATAAGATTTACCAGAATTATGTTGGAGGTTTTTGAAAAATATAAATGCCCAGGTATTGCTTTTTTTCTCTGAAGTTCCAGATGTATTTCTAATTAGTGCTCGTTTTAAAAAGTGCTTTTTAAAAGGTATGATAAAAAGATATGATGATCTTTTATTCTAAGTCTTAAAGTTGGGTAATGTCAGTCTTCCAACTTTGTTGTTCTCCTTCCACACTGTGTTGGCTCTTCTGAGCCTTTTTCTTTTTCATATAAACTTAAGAATGTTTGTCAGTATCCATAAAATGTTTCAGGGATTTTGACTGGGATTGTGTTGAATCTATGAATTAAATTTATGAACCTGTGAATCAAGTTGACTGTAATAATTAACTGACATCTTAAATACTGAGTCACCCTATCCCTGAACATGGACTCTATCTCCATTTATTCCTTAATATCTTTCATCTGTTTTGTTGTTTTCCCTCAAGTCTTATACATATCTTATGTCCATTTCATTTCAGTCAGTTCAGTCGTGTCCGACTACTTGCGACCCCATGAACTGCAGCACACCAGGCCTCCCTGTCCACCACCAACTCCCGGAGTCCATCCAAACCCATGTCCATCGAGTCGGCGATGCCATCCATCTCATCCTCTCTTGTCCCCTTCTCCTGCCTTCAATCTTTCCCAGCTTCAGGGTCTTTTCAGGGTCAGCTCTCCGAATCAGGTGGCCAAAGTATCGGAGTTTCAGCTTCAGCATCAGTCCCTCCAATGAACACCCAGGACTGATCTCCTTCAGGATGGACTGGTTGGATCTCCTTGCAGTCCAAGGGACTCTCAAGAGTGTTCTCCAACACCGCAGTTCAAAAGCATCAATTCTTCTGTGCTCAGTTTTCTTCACAGTCCAACTCTCACATCCATACATGACTACTGGAAAAACCATAGCCCTGACCAGATGGACCTTTGTTGGCAGAGTAATGTCTCTGCTTTTTAATATGCTGTCTAGGTTGGTCATAACCTTCCTTCCAAGGAGCAAGCGTCTTTAGAGCTAATGTAAATGGTAGCATCTTTTAATTTAAAATTTCAGTTGTTCATTGCTGCTGGTATAGGAAGACAATAGACTTTTGTACATTAACCTTGTATTCTGCAACTTTGTTGTATCTTTCATTAGTTCCAGGAGGGTTGTGTGCTTGTTTTTGTAAATTATGCTGGACTTTCTATTAATACATAATTATGTCATTTACAAACTAACACAAGTTTACGTCTTCCTTTTCAATCTGCACATATAATTTTTCTTTCCTTTTTGTATTAGCTAAGAGTTCCAGTATGATACTGAAAAGCAGGGATGAGCTGGGAAAGACAATTTGCCTTGTGTGTGACCTCAACTGGAAAACTTCAAACCTCTCCCATTAGGTGTGATATTAACTGTAGGTATATTAGTTGTAGGTTTTTGTAGATATTTTTAAAAAATCAAGTTGAGGAAATTCCCTTCTATTGTTTACTGAGTTTTTAATCATGAGTGGTATTGGATTTTGTCAAATGCTTTCTCTACCGATAAGGTTATGTGATTCTAATTCTTTAGACTGTGATTACATTGATTTTTCAAGTATTGAAACAGCTTTGCATATCTGGGATAAATCTCACTTGGTTGTGGTGCCTGGTTGTTTTTTATATACTGTTTGGACTGATTCGCTAATATTTTAAGGATCTTTGCTTCTGTTCAAGACAGATACTGGTCTGCAGTTTTTCTATAATGTCTTTGTTTTTGGCATTAGAGTAAAGCTGGTCTCAGGAGTGAGGAATGAGACCTAACTCATTCTGCTTCCATCTTTTGAAACAGACTGTAGTGAATTAATAAAACCTCTTCATTAATTAATGTTTGCTAGAATTCACCGGTGAACCCACGTGGGTCTGGTGCTTTCTGTTTTAGAAAGCTAGTAGCTGTTGATTATATAAAATAGGTCTATTCACATTGTCTATTTCTTGTGTGAGTTTTAGCAGGATCATGGTTCAAGTACCACAGAGACTCACTATTCTTGCCAAGACTGAGTATTTTCTTGAGTAAGTGTTTTTTGTTTGCTGTATGCTCTTATGACAATTCCCAGAGACTTTAATTTTTTAAAAAAAATTTACCAGTTATGGTTGTTTCACTGTAGATCATGCTGCCATTCCCAAAGTGCTTCTTGCCTGTTTAATGCATGTCTTAAAATATAAGCAATCAGGACCTTTAAATAAGGCAGTATGTTCACAAGCTGAAAAAGCTTCCTGATGCCATCAGCTGGTTCAACAACACCATGCAGCTTACAGAATAAATAAACAGTTCTTTAATAATTACTTAAATATATTCCAGAAGTGATGAGTGTTTCTAATTCATTTACAAGTGCTGTTACACCAGTAAATGTTCCTTGACCTGTTTATAAAGTAAATAATGCTGCGTAAGAATTAGTCCTGGAATAGTGTGCTGAATTTCTATTTTCAATTCAGTAGATTAAAAACACAATTGTCAATGGTATAAAAACGTAAGAATCACTGTGATAAAACCAATCTCAAAAATAGAGAATCCGGACTCTCCTCAGATTATTTTAGAACTCAAGACGTTTTCCTCTACTTAAACACAAGCTCCACATAGAAAATATTAAAGATGTTTTTCAACATGATGCCACTGCATAAAACTCTAGAATGTGACCATCAGGAGATGAACATACTGAAATCAATGGAGTTTAGAAAACACATCTAATTGTGAAGTAAGGAGAAATAAAAAGACGATTTACAAAGAATTATAACTGATTTCTAATCATCATCAGAGTCTGAATCATATTTCTTTCCTCGAATAGTTTTCTTTTCCAGCTTTGTGAAGTTTGTTCCAAATTTCTTTTGGCTCTGAAATGGTGGCTCCATTAAATTTCCACTAAAAAGAAACAAATTTGAAAAACACTTATTCTCTATGATTTAGTACAGCTGGTATACTGAACTACACAAAAATACATCTTCACTGTAACACATGGAATAGAGTAAAATTTTCTTTATAATGCTGGTGTTGAGGAAGAGGTACTGAAAATTAATACTGATAATTAATAGTTGATAATGATAATTAGCAGGTTTAAACCTTACTTTGTACTACTAAATGCTTTTGACTAGCATTTTATTTTCTTATCGTTAATTACTGATTAGCATTTCATGGAATGTACCAACAAAATCTCTTGATTGAAAACCACAGGAGGAAATCAGTTATTTTCATGTTTTGGGTATGCCGAATTTGTATTAGATTCCTATCCCTGTGAGAATGACAGGAAAATTGTGCTCTATTTTCGATAGCCTGTTACAGCCAATTCCATCCTATTTAACATCTTTTAATGTTTAGATCACTATAGACAACAAACTCATGGAACTCATTATCATTAACCCTGAATTAGTATGGGAAGCTTTTTATGATACCTGAAAAATAAGACCTTGGTTTTGAAATATCATTTGTCACTGAAGGGAATCAAGGCTTCTCGGAGATAAAGTCAATTCCTATGGAGAGTACAACACAGGTCCCCCTAAAAGATCTTACCTGCACCAGAAAGAAAGTGCTCAAAGGATTATGGGGACGTGTCAAGAACACACAGAAGTCAGTATGCAAGGCTCTCATTGGGCAAACGTGAGGCAATCTGAGCTTCAAAGTAAATAATAACAGTAATATTCAATAATGTATCCCATTGAACAAAATAATCCATAGCCCATTCTAATACAAATAAATGAAAAAGTAAACTAATGTGGGGTCTGGAAAAGGTCTTCCTTAAATTACCATTTGGCTTGGTAGACAGCTGATTAGCAAGTGCTCAGATAATACTGCCAGTAATGTGACAAACCAGCCTATGTCTCCTGATATGGTACAATGAGAAAGAAGAACACATCACTTCCATATTACACCTGTGGAAAATATGCAAAACCTGAATCTAATTGTGAAACATTAGATGAACCCAAATTGGGAGATGCTCTATGAAATAACTAGTTTGTTCTCGTCAAAAGTGTTAAACTATTGGAAAACAAGGGGAACAAGTTACTACAGGTTAAAGGGAACTAAAAATTCACAGTAAGTACTTATGACTCATTTCTTCAGTATGGAGGAGATTATTGGGACAATGATGGACTTTGAATAAGGTCTGTAAACTATGTATTTTGTGTCTTAATAATTTTACTGTGGATGTATAAGAATGTCCCTGTTCTTAGGAAATGCAAACAGAAATATTTAGGAGTAAAGGGACAATACATCTATAATATCCAGTCAGATGGTTCTGAAAAAAGTTTATATATTCCCAGAAACAGAATGATAAAGCAAATATAAAATACTGAAAATTGGGGGATACAGGTGAATGATATATGAGAATTCTTTGTACTAGTTTCCAACTTATTTAAAATTGGAAATCACGATTTAATATTAACATTTTACTTAAGAAAACAAAACCTGGAACATCAAAATCAATTTCTACAATATAGGAATGACTTATACACATGTAGGAGAGATTCAGAGGAAAAGGAGGAAGCAAAATAAAAAGATGAGGGAATTTTCTACTTATTGAGAGGTACTCTGGAATAACTGGAAAATTTAACCTATTATTTTTGCAAATAAAAAACAGATACATAAGATGATGTGCTCTAATCCGTGAAATTAGATAAACTGCCTGGAGAAGTGAACAAAGAGATGAGTGGAAAATGGAAGTTGGATTTTAGATCATTTTCTACTGAGACTGTTCTTTATAGGTAAGTAATTTAAGCTAACATAGAAATGAGATGTGATATAGTTTATCAGAGTCGACAAGTGATACAGGAATAACTACATTAAAAATCTAATGTTTGAAAATAAGTCATTATCAATTTGAGTAATCTGGGTTCAAGCAGGAAGGAGTCAATTCTTCTGGAGTGTCATCCTGGGTTTCCAGATGAATACTGAACTAGATTTCATAGGATCTGTTTGAAAACTTGTAGAGTTAGGTGGACTCTAGAACCCAAGATCAACTTTATTTGGAACTCTGATTTTGCTCTAAGATCATACTAAGGTACACTTTAAGAGATACGCTTTTCCTGTGTGGCAGTTTTTCTTCATCTCCAGCTTCAAGATAAAGCTTATAGAAATATTTCCATAAAATAAATATTAACATAAAAAAATTATCTAAAAACTTCAACTGAATATGGCAGTTAAAACAAACTGATGGTTTGCTGAAGGTTACCTGTAATTAAGAATATCAGCACAACCCAGCCTCCACTCCAAGGTTTCTGTGGTGAAGTCATCTGTATTTCCTAGGTCAGAAAATCCAACAACAAAATCCTGTGTTTTGCCATCTTTCACCAGTGCTAGTGTGGGAATGACTTTGATACGCAGTCTCTCACAAAGGAAAGGTGCTTTTTCCACATTCAGTTTCAAAAATTTGGTCTCAAGATGTTTCTTGGACAATATCACCAAATGTCTGTCTAGTATTTTACACCTGTAAATAACAACACATTGAAAACCAAAAGCTAGAAATGATAATTTCTTTATCAAAGTAAATATTAAGGCACATCTTAGTTTTTACTTTTTCTGAATCTCATAATCTGCCAGTCAACCTATATATCTATCAGATAACCTTATTTCCATTTCATAGGTTAGGTACCTCTTTTTCTACCTCTTATGATACTGTAGTCTAAAAGGTTGGATCTGCCTTAATGAGAAATATAAAGAACAAAGTATTCAACATATGACTTAAGCCTTAAGTGGCTCACAAAGCTGTCATGTTCATGGTTAAGAATAAAAAATAGTCATTTTCCTTATGCATATTTCCTGCCATTTCATAGAAAGAGACAAACCTGAACTTGACAGAGCTCAGAAGACACCTCTCAGAATTAGAAATGTACAGGTGGTGGTGTACTTGGAAGTCACTAAGAAAGACCAAATGTGTCACTGAGAAGGAACCTTTCCAACCGTACAAATTCTGTTAGTGTGAAGTCTGTCAAGGTTAAGGGTACAAATATATGGTCACTATGGTCCTAAAGAAGTGCAAAATTCCAGCAGTATTTTTATTAAGCCACCTGAAAAGGAAAAGTGGTATTTTCTTTAAATTATACTTTAAACTGGCCAACCCTTTAGTGTATCTCAGAAATACACTTATAGTTGAGCAGCTGTTCTTACCCAGAGGTGATTAGTACAATCAACTTTTAAAACATACAGATGAATCAAAATTCTCTGGGACTTGAGCTGAGAAACATGCAAGTGATTCTCATGGTCAGTGAAGTTTGATAACTACTCTGCTTTTGATGATTAAGACACCAAAATCATAGCTGATTTTACCAGCAGGTTTTTGGGGTACTTCTTGGTAGTTTTTCCTGAGTTAAGTTCGGGTCCACTGAGTTTCTTATAACCTTGATGCCTCACCACCTCTGAGTGATTCTTTTTATATATCACTCATGCAGTACAGCAATGGGATTTTATTAATAGTGAAAACTGTCAGGAGAGAATAAGTGGTTTGTGAATGAAGCTCCAAAGCAGTGACAGATCATTTGCAGAAATACGTTCTTGAGGATTTCTACATCAATCAACTCCACGGTTTTACTGGAATAATGTGGAATCTATTTTAAATAAGTATGTCCCATTGGCCAATTAATCCATTTTTTAATCGAATTTTAAATCCAATTTAAACCCAGAGGTAGCAGTCATGATGCAGTTAAAATAGCATTAAGCTGGGCTCAAATCTGCTTTTATCATTTAGCAACTGAGTGACATCAGGCAGGTCACTTAATTTCTCCAAGTCTTGGTGTCCACACACAAAAAAGCATGGGGATTATAAAGTGCTTACCTGAAAGGGAGATTGTGAATGTTCCAGGATCTTATACCGCCTGAAGCATCTAGCATTACCACATGCTAAAAACTTTGATATCTACCTGTCTATATTTATATCAATTCATTCAACCTTGACTTTATTTTCTTTCATTTGTATTCTATTAGTTAATAAATCCCAGGCATTAATAACCACGTTGTTGGGTGAAGAGGCAAAGACAGGTGCCAGGCAGACTATGGAGATGAGAGAAGAGGGCAGGGCTGGGGGAGACTCTGGGTGCAGTGCGAGTTTCCACAGCAGCCACTCAGCATCAGCAAACTGCTTTCATACAACTCTAGGTCTGTTACCACATCATCTGATGTTGGCAACTATTCAAACTTTGGAGCTAGGGAAAAAAAAAACAGGCTTGAGCCATCTTGTTTAAGATATAACCTCTACTGGGGCTATTTTTACTGTGAGGGATCTGCCTCCAAAGAGAGGCTGGCAGACCTGGGCTCGTCTAAGAGAAATTATTTTCTCCATCTTCCAGCCAAACCTGAAGTTCCAACTCTGCTCCTGGAGAAAGGCCTCGTCAAGCCATCGTCTCCCTGTGAATTGCCAGTTAAGAACTGACTGAATTCAAACTTGGTGTTCAGGCGTTGGCCGCATTTCCAACACTGTGGCTGTATTGCAATAGTAGGGACAAAAGCAGAACTCTTGGAATTGATATTTTAAAAAAAAAATTTAAGTGCTCATTGCTAAGATGTTTCTAAAATTACCTAGCGAAAATATCATTCAGAAAATAGCCACTTCTATGAAAATACTGAAATCCAATAATTTATACTTTTTTATGTCACTGGTTTTTAAGTTAATCTTTGATGACTGCTTAATTCTAATATACAGACTTCCAGTACAAAGGGACAACTAAGGAATTAGTTCCTTTCACATTTTTCTTAATTTCTCTATTAAGTCAGGGTACCTATTCAACAATCTCTTCATGTTTAAAAACAGTCACTGAGGGGAAACCAAGTTACCTGAATGTGGAGTCTCTGTAGAAGTGGCAAACCACTTTTTTACTCTCCTTGACTTCTTGAAAAAAGTCTCTTTCACTAGGGATTTCTCTGTATTCCCCGTGTCCTTTTGAAAGCCATTCCTAATTTGAAAAGAGAAATATCACACATTTGAAATCTCTTTCAATGTCACTTTACATCTTATATCCAAATCACTAAATTATTTTGTAATTAAGTCAATTTTATCTTAGAAATGAATTCTTCTTGGTAATGTACTTTTCTTTCTAGTGTCAATGCAGACATAGTCTGTGGGCCACGACTATCTCCACAGCATGGCTTGTAATTATCTTGTCTGTAACTTGAAACACATGTTTTCTTAGAATTTTCAAAATAAAAATTTAGACCATAAAGATTGATAATGTAAACATCTACTTAATTTCTTTGCACTTAAACTACTAAAATAAAAAGAATCTGATCCAAGTTACTACAAAGCTTTAAAAAAGAACAGCTGTGAGATAAAGCCAATTGGTATTTGGGGAGGGGGTGAGTACTGCAGCTCTGAAGCTGAGGAGCCCCGTGTACTTTTGATGACCACCTCAGAGACAGCACTCTTCTAGTCCGGCCACCCACGGATAGTATCCAGTGAAGAAAAAGGGGTTTTCTCATGTGGTATCCAGAAAAAGGGACCCACAAGTCCATCTAATCCAATTCTCCAGATCACTGTCTCGACCCTCATCATCCATGTTGGAAAGGTATTTCAGTTTCTTCTACCTCTCCCATGGCAGGAAGCTGACTGCCTCAGGTGGAAACTTGTTTCCTTTCTCAAGACTTCTACTGTCATTTAACCTTTTTTTTTTCCTTCTCTATTTCTTTGCCCTTCTCAAGACTTGGTTTTAATAAAAAGGAGGACTGGACTTGCAGACAGAAGGACTTGAATCACTGCTCTACCACTCATTAGGCTGTGAATTCTCATAACCTTTCTGAGTCTCACATTCCTCATTTGTAATGTAGAGATCATAAAACAATTATCTCACTGAGCTACTGTGACAAGACAACATGAAAATAACAGAGTGGCTGGCACATCACACGTGCCTGAAAAGCATTAATACATGTATTCTCTAGTTCTCAGAAAAGTCTTCTCCCGCTGACCGCAATATATCCTGACCTTTCGTCTGTGGATCCCAGCCTGGACCGCAAATGAGAGAAGTTCTAATCTATCTTTCAGGTCAGCCCTTCAAATATCACATGATGCTTACACCTGTCCTCTTCTACAGGGAACACTTCTGTTTGCTTTTGACTTTCTCATATGAAATGATTTTTAGATGTCCTCATCCTCTGAACGCACTCTAGAAAGGGGCAGGAGCGCAGACTGCACCCCTAGTTTCGGCATCTGCTTCACGTTGGCTTACGCGGAGCTACAGGAGGCCCCGGTATTTTCACCGTATTTCTGTGATGAAGCTCCCAGAGAGTTTAAACTCCTTAGTGACAGGCTTCCTTTGAGCACAGACAGATCATGATGGGCTTTCTCCTAACTCTACCTGAAAGGGAGCCTGCAGATCCCTGTTTCTCCCAGTGTTCTTCCTCATCCATACTCTCCTCAACTACACAAATCTGAGCTCAGAAAATTATCCTGGGCCAGGTGTTTCTTGTATTTGACTGTCAATTAACACTGAGCAGGCTAACTCGGAATGTGTCTTTAAAAACTGTCTTTTCCCCCAGGGAAAATTTGCACTGGCATTAGGTACTTTTGAGGCCAAACAACCCTAAAGACTGAGGACTGAAATGTGACTACTGCGGCACGTGTATATAGAAGTGGTTAGAAGCATACTGTGAGAGCAATTTCAGAAAGCAGGGCAGAGAGGTTACTTGTTTCTGCTGTTGAGCTTTCTTCAGAGCCTCGAGTCTCTTTTCTTTGAGGCGTTCCAATTCATCCTCATCCATCTGATCTAGTTTCTGAATTTCCGAATCCAAATGTTCTTCCACTAGTTTGGTGGTTTGAAGCAACTGATTCTCTAGGACTTTTGAAAACATGTCAACAGATGCATTCGCTTCCATTCTTCTAAATGGTATGGTTCAGCCTTGATGCTGGGGAGAAGGGTTACAAAGTTGGAGAAAAAAATAAGACAGGAAACTTTTCTCTTAGTTCCCAAAATGCTAGCAAATATATAACTTGGAGTTCACAAAGTGTTCTGCTGACAACCAACCATGTCACGTTAAGAATTTTTACTTAAATGTTTTAAAATTTAATTTTCAACAGGTTATAGTCACTCTTGTGTGTTAAGTTGCTTCAGTTGTGTCTGACTTGTTGCAACCCTATGGACTGGAGCCTGCCAAGCTCCTCTGTCCATGGGATTCTCCAGGCAAGAATACTGGAGTGGGTTGCCATGTCCTCCTCTATGGGATCTTCCTGACCCAGGGATCAAACCCTTGTCTCTTATGTCTCCTGCATTGGCAGGTGGGTTCTTTACCACCTGGGAAGTCACACTAGTCAAAAATAATTTAGACCAAAGGTTAGAGTGCTTTTGACTTTGTTTGTTTACTATTCTAAAGCAAAGACAAATCTTTAAGATCATCTCCAGACCAGAAAGAAATGAGTTGAAACTAAACCTAGTGTTGTATACTGACAGTATTCTTTACCAAAGGAAAAGGGAAGCAAAGCAGAAATGACTGCAAGCATGATAGTTTTTAACTGTAGCAAGGTTTTACACATATGTGTACACACACCAAATTTTGCTTCAAGATAGAACAGATTTGAGCAAAAGACATTATTTTCCATCTCTGCCTAAATTGTTTTAACTCTGAAGAGAGCTCATTACAACTTGTGTAAAGAACTCTGCCTGGTGTTTCCTAAGCTCTAGTTTCCAATTCTGTTCTCTCAGTAACTAATAGTCTATAAGCCCACAAAGATTGACACTAGTATTGATTTAGGGACACTCAGTGCTTGTAACTTTGATGTCAAACAACATAACACTCCAAATATTAAAAGTATATTGATTTTACCATCACTCCTCTATGTAAGACAGGAGTTTAAAAATAGACTCTAATTCAGATTAGAAAGGCAGATCTCAATGACTTAGTCTATTTATTTACAATTTTTATTTTATGTTGGCATATAGTTGATTTACAATGTTGTGTCAGTTTCAGGTATATAGCAAAGTGATTAATTTATACATACTCAATTACCTTTTTCAAATTCCTTTCCCATTTAAGTTATTACAGATTACTGAGTAGAGTTTCCTGTGCTATACAGTATGTCTTTGTTGGTTATCTACTTCAACTGCATATTTTAAAAGAAATTATTTTCTACCAGCAACAATTAGATGGTGATTTTATGTGTACTCCTAGGTTATTACCACAGAAATTTATAATTTTTCTGTCAAAGCAGGAGACTGTTGATCTCAACTATGATATGTTTTCAACTACTACTGAAGCACTTTTAAAAAATCTGAATAAACTTGTGAGCTCATTTGCCCAGCTTCTGACACACAGCCTGGCCCACCAGACCCCCTATTAGCTGTTGAACTGAATTGAAATAGTCTTTCTGCAAAATTCGCCTCTGATTCCACTTTTTCCCCCCACATGAAAAGCAGTCGAAAAGCACACTGGATTTTATCTTTGTATTCCTGGAGCTCGCAGTGTTCGGGACACTGCAGATGCACAAAAAATATTTGTCAACGGCTGAAGTAGCATGTGTCTAGCTATTGTTCAAATTATGGTTATGTTTCAAAAGTATTTCTCGGTTTTAAAAACCAAAATGTAAGTTCCTCATATGCGATACAATTTTAAATGAGCTGTATTTCAAATACAGGAAATGAATTTCACACTCCCTACTTCTCAAGAAAAATTTAAGGCTATGACTCTCAGGATCGGGGCCGGATGAGACAGAAAAGTATTTGTTAAACACTGACTTGCTTGTCAGATCTTGTTCTTTACAAGGGGCGTAGCAGATGCTTGTCCCTGGAGTTTTAGAGGCTGAACTCAGAATTCTGCGATAACTGGGAGAAGCGATTAACAAGAGCTGTTGTGGGGGGCAGGTTGTGCTGGTCGTCGCCTTCACAAAGGGGGAAAGGAGATGGTGCAGAGATAACTTCATTTTCCAAACCACAAGCTTCTGATTCTTTTTTCAGTTTAACTGAATGGTGGGCAGGGACGTGTCCTCAAGTTACCTAACCATTTCCGCGATTCCCCTGCGTGCACCCGCCAAAACAAGCAGGGGGCCTCACCATTAACCGCACCGCCAGTCGCTTCCCAAAAGTACCCTCGCCACTCCCCGCGCCCCCGGGGACAGACGAGGGCAGAGGCGAGGTGGCCCCAGCTTCAAAGCCTCCCCGGGCGCATGCGCCAAGCCTCCTCCGTGGCGGGGACTCCGGAGCCCGAGCCGCGCCCCTCCCCCGACCAGGCAGGATGCTGAGCAGTCGGGTGTCCGTTAGCACCAGGATGCATGGCCGGTGTTTTCACAGCACCCGCTGCCTCACCTGAGCTCTCGGCGACACCTGAAATACGAAGACCCAGCTTCTCCAGAAGAGCAATCCTCTCTGGCTTCGGCCTCCAAGCAGCTGCGGGTAGCTGCGAAGCGGCCGTCACTTCTGCCTCCTCATTGGCCGCAGATCTCACGCGATAGTATCTGCGACGTCCCAGGAAGTGGAGGTAGTGCGGGGGAGGGGGGAGGGAAGTGCGCGCGGCGAGCACTTCTGCGCGTGCGCCCTTCTGCACCTTTCCTGCGCTCCGGCGTTCCGAACTCTTGGCGTAAGAATCTCTCCCTCCCTCCGAGTGAACAGCCCAGAGGGCGGGGGGAGCGAAGTACGCTGGAGATTGTAGTTTCCTAGTGCTCAGCCCGGCGTTGACGTTCTTATGTTCTGACACGTTACATCAGAAAGGGAATAGCTATGCTCCTGCCCGGGAGTGGCACTCCAATTTTGTTTCCGTTCGGTTTATTGAACAATTCCCACCTTTAAAAAACAATTAAAGTATAACTTACGTGTAAGTTTTTACATAGTTAACACATAGTGTCGTTGTCCAGATCCGGATATAAAACACTTTCACAATCCTAGTATGCTCTCTCGCGACTTCCCTGACATAAATTTTTAGAGCTTGTTCTCGGTTTGAATGTAAAGATCATGATCTATTTAGGAGAATTAATGGGTGTGTCCTTTTTAAAAGAATGGTTTCTGTTTGTTTCGGTAATTCATGGACATGACTACGAGGCTCAATACTGTGGATTTCTCTGTCTCCCTTTGGAACACCCAGACGGCTCACCAGTGGTTCACGGTGCTTCTTTATTGAACCTGACGCAGCCGAGTACAAAGGGACAGAGGTTAAAGGTGGAAGGGAAGCCCAAAGTCTACTTTTGAACTGAGATCCAATTCCCCAACTCTGCGTCCCCCAGTAGGGAGAGGGGCGGATGGGGGAAATTTTCAACCTCATTGTCCACCCCTAGGTTCTAGAATCTTGAAACCCCGCGAACCTCGGAGCGCCGCAGACGCTTGACGGAAGAGGGCGCTCGGGTTCCCGCTTGACGGGCCGGGTAACTAGAGACGCTCTACCCGCGGCGCAGCTCTCGATGAGCCGCGCCCTGCGTCCCCACGCTGAGGCGGCGGGGCGATGCGCTTGCGCACTCGGAGCTCACACCATATGTGCCCTGTCCCAGTGCGCGGGTCTGTGGAGAGCCGGGTGCGAGAGGCGGCAGCGCGAGGGGGACGGAGCCGAGCGGAGACCGAAGTCAGCCGAGGGACAGCGGGTCTGTGAGGGGCCGAGTAGAGGGGCTGGGGCTGCGAGCGCCGCTGACACACGATGGGGAAGAAGCAGAAAAACAAGAGCGAAGACAGGTAGCTAGTGGCGGGTCCTCACGGCGGCGGCCGGCGCGGCTCAGGGGGTCGCGCGGGTCCCGCGGGCGTGGGGCGGACCCGGGTCGAGGCTCGAGAGCGGCCCCTCGAGGCACAGGCCGGGACCCAGAGTGGGCAGCGCTGGCCCGAGACTCCAGTTCCCGGCGGGCGAGGAGGGCCTCAGCGGCGAGCGGGTTCCCAGCCGAGACTCCGTCCCCTCGCCCGGCTCGGGAGAAGGTCTCCGGCTTGAGGAGCCGGGAGTCGTTTTGGGGTTCGCGGTCCCGTGGGGCAGGGCTCGGGCGGCCTCACGGAGCCGGACGCCGCTTGGCCACCGTGGCACGGGCGGGTGGGAGTTGTTGCGGCGCTGCTTTTGGCGGAGGTCTGGAAGAGTTCTTTTTCATGCGGGTGTACCTATGAATTCTTGGAGAGAGAAGTGTTTGGAATGCGATGTGTCTCCAGCCAGGTGTTCTCACTCTCGGAGCCTCTCAGGCACGTTAGAGACAACGCGAAGAGCGTAGCAGGTTGCTCTGTCTTAACTTCATTTAATTTGGTTCAGCTTTCAATTACTTACGGGCTGATTGTCCAGACTCCATGCTTTTCGTGTTCCTTCTTCCGGCCTTTTGGTAATTTCTTTACTCGCTAGCACCTCCCCTAAGAAAGGAGGAGATGAAACAAACCAACCAGGGTCGCTTTTTCTAACCACTTAAAAAGGCTTTGGGGGCGAGAGAGCTTAAGGATGTATGTAGCCTTGAGCACCCCGAGATTATTGTAACATTCCTGGGTGTCATATTCGGTGGAGTTCTTTTCCCCTCTTCATGGAGAGGGCTTACTTTCTGGGAGTGAACAACATATGTTATTTTTTACCTTTGTAAACTACTCACCAGACTTAGTTCAAATATTGGGTGTAGTAAGAGGAATTCGAAAGACAAAAACAACAACCTGTGATAGTTCATTTTGACTCAAAACGGATATTTGCTCTTGAAGTTTGAATACGTTGTCATTTGGAATCCTGGGTCGTTTCCTGATCTGGCCCTTACCTAGCTGTTGAATGGAGTTAAAAAGACACCAAGTGTCTTGTATTTCAGTTAGAGGTCTATTGGAAGAAGTTAATTGGTTTGAAGAGTAGCCAGATAAATAAGAAAAAATAAGCAGAATTCTGGGGTGATTTAGTGGGGCAAAAATTTCTATGCTTTTGACAGGATGTTTTGGTGCCTGAGATACTTTTTCTTCAGCCTTACACAAGAAATGGAGAGATGAGTGTAATAAAGCTTCCTGTACCAGTTACCCAGCTTCAGCCATTGTTGTCACGTGACTGGTCCTGTTTCATCTACCTGCTGGATATTTGAAAGCAACTCTCAAAATCGTTTCATGTGTAAATCCTTTAAGTGTATCTGAAAGGTGAATACTTGAGGGAAAAAACCACAGAAACACAACATAAAGCACAAACACAATGTCATTAAACCCAAGGAATACTAGCAATGATTTCTTAAATACAGTCAATTGTCAGTTTTCTAATTTCACTGATGCTTATTTTAAGAAATCTTTTTTTAAAAAAACAATTGGTTTGTTTGGATCAGGATTACAGAACTCTATTCTTTAGATTAAAAAACATATGTATATGTTATCTTAATTTTTTTACTTTTCAAGCTCTTTTGCATTAGAAAAAACCTATTCAGAAGAGAAATATTTATTCTTGTGTGCGTATTTTTTAGAGAAAAGTGTTACTGATTCATAACGTTGTTTACGGATGACATAAAGTTTAAATTGCAAACACTAGACCCTGTTAAATGATTGGTTTGATAGTATAGAAAGAAGGCTGTTGAATTTTTTTCCCCTCAGACTAAATCTGCAGCCTTTATTTTTTGGCCCTTGTTGAAGGAAAAATGGTGGCAATGTCAGTGAAAAACACATTTTCTCATAAACCAGTATCAAGTTTCTTTGTTTTTTAATGCTTTGTGGAGACCTCCCACCTCCCCTTTCCTTCCCAGTTGTCTTAAGCCAGACATGTTTCTGCTCAGGAAGAACTGGGTGAGAAATGAGCACCTGCTCATTAGCTATCAAGTTAAGGCATTGGGCCACTTTTCAGTTACTGGAAAGAACATAAAATACGTGACTATTTTAATCCTTATATTGTTAATTTTAAATTTTTAGCTGCTCAGTGTTCATTTAAAATTAGATTTTACTATCTAATCTGAGGGCTCCCAGGTGGTAAAGAATCCACCTGCCAGTGCAGGAGACACAAGAGATGTGGGTTCAGTCCCTGGGTCGGGAACATCCCCTGGAGAAGGAAATGGCAACCCACTCCAGTATTCCAGCCTGGAAAATTCCGTCGACAGAGGAGCCTGGTGGGCTACAGTCCATGTGGTCACAAGAATTGGACATGACTGAGTGCGCACATACACACACATGCACATACACATCTAATCTGAGGGATCTTATTTGGATTACATATGTTTTGTTATATCAGTGACTGACCTTTGTTTAAACAGAGTTCTAGAATTTTGTTTTTGCTTATGAAATTCTGAGTGAGAATTTGGTAGTTGTTAAGCAAGTTTCCTTTTTCAGTTGACTGGGATAAGATTCAATATTCACAGATCATACAGACAAAATACATGGCCAATATTTTCGTTTCTTCCTGGGCTTCCCTGGTGGCTCAGATGGTAAAGAATCTGCCTGCAATGCAGGAGACCCACATTGAATCCCTGGGTCGGAAAGATCCTCTGGAGAAGGGAATGGCAACCCACTCCAGTATTCTTGCCTGGAGAATCCCGTGGACAGAGGAGCCTGGCGGGCTACAGTCCATGGGGTCACAAGGAGTCGGACATGACTGAGCGGTTAACACCCACACATAGAACTTTCTGGTCATCAGTTTATGTGACCAGGCCGCATCTCATGGTGCCTTGTGTGCTCTAGCAGTGCCCTGCTGTTTACACAGCACATCTCTTTTTAGTATGTGCAGAGAAAAAAATGATCCTGATTATCTGATTTTTCACAGTTAACTTCCAATTCATCATTTTAATCCTTTTTTAAAAATCCCCCAAGTGTGGTAGCTGTAGTTTTCAGGTTGTAAGGAATGTGTTCTGTTACCTTGTTTAGAAAGATTAATACGTTTCCGTTCCATCACAAAGGCTGCAGAGCGAAGAAAGATCATCATTCCACTTACCTCGCGGTCAGACGTGGAGATGGGGTGTCATTCAGGAATTAGCGGTTTCAGGGTTGAGTGGGCTTCCCTTGTGGCCCGCTGGTAAGGAGCCCGCCTGCAGTGTGGGAGACCCAGGTTCAGTCCCTGCGTTGGGAGGATCCCCTGGAGAAGGGAAAGGCTACCCACTCCAGTATTCTGGCCTGGAGAATCCACAGACTGTCTAGTCCATGGGGTCGCGAAGACTCGGACGTGACTGAGCGACTTTCTCTTCACTTCAGGATTGAGTGCAGTTGTGGGGCATCTTCAGCTCTGACTCTTCGCTGGTGGTGAGCTAGTTATTGTTGTTCAGTCACTAAGTTGTGTCCAGCTCTTTTCGACCCCATGAACTGCAACGTGCCAGCCTTCCCTGTCCTCCACCGTTACCTGAAGTTTGCGCAAATTCACTTCCATTGAGTCAGTGACGCCATCTCATCCTCTCTTGCCCTCTTCTCCTTTTGCGTTCAATCTTTCCCAGCATCAGGGTCTTTTCCAGTGAGTCAGCTCTTCACATCAGGAGGCCAAAGTATTGGAGCTTCAGCTTCAGCATCAGTCCTTCCCGTGAATATTCAGGGTTGATTTCCTTTAGGAGTGACTGGTTTGCTCTCCTCACAGTCCAAGGGACTCTCAAAGAGCCTTCTCCAGCACCACGGTTCGAAAGCATCAGTTCTCTGGCTCTCAGCCTTCTTTATGGTCCAGCTGTCACATCCATACATGGGTACTGGAAAAACCATAGCTTTGACTAGATGGACCTTTGTTGGCAAAGTGATATCTTTGCTTTTTAATAGGCTGTCTAGGTTTGTCATAGCTTTTCTTCCAAAAGCAAGAGTCTTTTAATTTTGTGGCTGCAGTCATCGTCCACAGTTATTTTGGAACCCAAGAAAAGAAAAGTCTGTCACTGTTTTCACTTTTTCCCGATCTATTTGCCATGAAGTGATGGGACTGGATGCCATGATCTTCATGTTTTGAATGTTGAGTTTTAAGCCAGCTTTTTCACACTCCTCTTACCTTATCAAGAGGCTCTCTAGTTCCTCTTCATTTTCTTCAGTGGTGTCATCTGCAGGTCTCAGGTTGTTGATATTTCTCCTGGCAGTCTTGATTCCAGCTTGTGATTCATCCAGCCTGGCATTTTGCATTATGTACTCTGCATGCAAGTTAAATAAGCAGGTGAACTAGTACAGTAGCTCTTTGCTTTTAATGACATATAATGCTCCTGTCATTCCTGGCAAGATTCCTGCCTTTAGGGGAGTTCTGGTTATCTCTGAGTCAACTGTCTATGTTCTAGACTTTTGTCTTGGTTTCACACATTCACCTTACTCAGGTATGATCACAGGGTGGCGGGTCCCTTCCCTGAGATAGAAACGTGGTGATCTGCTTAAGGAGCCTGTGAGCATAGCAGGTACTCCAGAGCTTTACAGAGGAAGTAGTCCAGGTGGCAAATGTCAGGTAGTCCAGTTCAACAAAGAAATTTACTTCTCATTTGTGTATTTTTTGAATTAACAACAAACTTTGCATACATTAGATCAAAAAAGAAAAAAATATGTGTAATCTGACCATTCTCTTGGCATACCTTGTTCCTGTGCTGATACTTCAGGTGATTGATACCTGAAAGGAGGGGAAGATGTCCTAGTTAGTCATAAATGGATAAAAAACGCAGATAATAAACTTGTGAGGTTCTGGTAGCCTTTTTAGCCTTCTATACTGGTGATCTCTGAGGAGCTTATGTAGGTACTTTTGATGTTGCTTACCAGTCTAGTTGGACTTTACTTATCCTTCTGGGTTTATTCCAATCTGGCAGTTGGGCTATACATTGGGCAAAGCATTG